AATTTAACATTCTCATTATTTAGAAATGCCATGAGTTTCATCAAAGAGTAATTGGATTTTTTTTTTTTTTTTTGACTTTCCAACATTTATGGACAGACAGCTTGGTTCCTTAGCAGGCCCCTGTTTCTCAGTGAACAGTGGCATTTTCAAGGTGGAGTGAGAAGTCTTGAGGTCTGGCAAATTCTTAGGTAGGATTTTGGTGACATGATCTCGTGGGCATTAGCATCTTCTACACCTCAGTAGGAAGAAGCGGTGACAGCACCTCTTGGTTCACTGTCTGCGAAAGTGACGCCTCTTCCGCCTGTGACATCTTCGTCTCCAGCAATTAGAATTTTAAATAAGACACAAGATCCTTTATATAACATCCCTAAAAATAGCTTTTAGATATAAACATAACTAAATATGTATAAGACCTATATGAGGACAAGTATAAACCTTTGATGAAAGATATAAAAGAAAAACTAAATAAATGAAGAGATAGCCCACATTCATGAATAGAAAGATTTAATGTGGTCAAAATGTCATTTCTTCTTAACTTGATCTATAAATTCAATCTAAATCTCAGTTCAGTCAATTCAATCTCAATCAAAATCTCAATAAGTTATTTTTTAGATATCAACAAACTAATTCCAAAGTTTATAGAAGAGGCAAAAGACTCAAAGTAGCCAAGAAGGTATTGAAGAAAATGAACAAAGTGGGAAGACAGATACCGTTTCAAGACTTACTATCAAGCTACAGTAATCAACGCAGTGTGGTATTGGAGAAAGACATGACAAACAGACTAATGGATTAAAATAGAGAGACAAGACTAGACCAACCCAAATATAGTCAACTGCTATTTGACAAAGAAGCAAAGACAATAATACAATGGAGAAAAGATAGTCTTTTTAACAGATGGTGCAGATACAACTGGATATCTAAATGTCAAAATATCTAATCTAGACACAAACTTTGCACTTTTCACAAAATAACTCAAAATAGATCATAGGCATAAATAAAAAACAAAATGATAAAATGCCTAAAAATAAATATGTTACCCGGGCATAGTGACTCACGTCTGTAATCCCAGCACTTTGGGAGACCGAGGCAAGAGGATTGCCTGAGCTCAAGGGTTAAAGACCAGTCTAGATACCTTGGGGAGGTCTCATGCAATAAATCAAAAAAATAGCTGGATGTGGTGGTGTGCAACTATAGTTCCAGTTCCTTAGAGGGCTGAAGCGGAAGGACTGCCTGAATCCAGCAGGTCGAGGCTGCCATAGCCATGAGCGTGCCACTGCACTCCAGCCTGAGTGACAGAGAGAGACTCCAACTCAATAATAAATAAATAAATAAATAAATATTTTAGAAATCTAAATTACCTTAGGCTTGAATTTTAAAAACAAAATCAAAAGCTTGGCCATTAAAATAAATAATTATTAAGTTGTACTTCATTAAGATTAAAACTTTTTTCTACTCTGTTAAAAAAAGAAAAAGAAAAAACCCTGAAGAAAGCAAAAAGACAAGCCAGAAACCGGAAGAAAATGTTTTCCAAAAAACACTTGTGATAAAATACTATTATCCAAAATTCACAAAGAACTCTTAAAACTTAGCAAAAAAAAAAAAAGAGCAACCGATTAAAAACTTGAGCAGAGACTGAATGCGTGGTGACTCAAGCCTGTAATCCCATTACTTTGGGAGGTCGAGGTGAGGGAATTGCCTGAGCCTGGGCAATGGGTTTGCAAATAGCCTGGGCAATTGGTGACACCTCATCTCTACAACAAATCAAAAAATTAGCTGGGCATGGTAGCAGATGCCTGAAGTTCCAGCTACTTGGAAGGTTGAGGTGGAAGGATTGCCTGAGCCCAGCAGGTCCACGCTGGGGTGGCCATAAGGATGCCACTGCACTCCAGCTTGGTCGATGGAGTGACACTCCAACTCAAAAAAACTTGAACAGAAGTTCTGAACAGACACCTTAATGAAGAATGCAAACATATGTAAGATGTTCGACATGATATATCATTAAAAAATTGCAAATTAAAACAACAGTGTGACACCAATTACATATCTAGTAGAATACCCACAATTCAAAACACTAATAACACTAAATGTTGGCAAGAATATGGAGCAAGAGCTCTCATTCATTACTAATGGGACACAAAATAGTACGACCTCTTTAAAAGACACTGTGGCAGTCTCTTACTCTTACCATACAATCTGACAATCATGTCTCTTGCTATTTACCTAAATGAGTTGAAAACTTTATGTCTGCACAAAAACCTGTACACAGATGTTTAGAGAGATTTATTCAAAATTGCCCAAAATTAGAAGCAACAAAGATGTTCTTCAGTGAGAGAATGGATAAGATGTGGTATGTCTATATAATGAAATATTATTCAATGCTGAAAACAAATGAGCTTTCAAGTCATTAAAAAAAAAAGTGGAACAAAGTATTAAGTCAAAAACTGCACACTATGTGAGTCCAGGTATACGACACTTTGGAAAAGGCAGAACGATGGAAACAGTAAAAACAACTAATGGAAGTCAGGGATTGGGGCAAAAGGGAATGAGAAAGAGGCATGAATAATCAGAGCACAGAAGATTTTTAGGGCAGTCATACTAATTCTTGTGATACTATAATGATGAATACATGTCATTGGAAATTTGCCAAAATCCACAAAATGTACAGCACCAAAAATGAAACCTAATGTAAACTATGAACTGTGGGTAATAATGATGTGTTCATATAGTTCATTGATTGTAAAAAAAAAAAAAAATGTACTGCTCTGAGGAGGGACATTGATAGAGAGGCTGTATGTGAAGGCGGAGTTATTTGGGAACTCCGTATTTTCTGCTCAATTTTGCAGTAAACCTAAAAATTGCTTATTTAAAAAGTGTCATGGGCCAGGAAAAACCCTATCATGAGACTGTTAGTGTCTAGCCCTCTCTTGCCAGCTAAATTTGAGGGAACAGTCAAAATCAAAACAAGAATTTACATTAACTGAAAGAATGAAGTAGCATTTTAAAACCAGCTGCCATTACTTACATTATTTATAGGATACTGTGTAATTGCAGAACTGTGCTGAATAAAGACAAATATATTCTTTTCTTGAACTTAGTCCAGAGGTCAAATGGAAATTTACGAACAAAATCCCAAATATTGTTTACTGTTTAAAACCCAAAATTTACCCTAGACTTTAGCGTCCTAATCGTGCTC